ATGTACTTGCCTAGATTCCTCAAACAACACCTTCTGACTGAGCTTAGTGCTTCTCCATGTGGCTCCCACTCCTTACAGCCTGGAATGGCCCCTCCTCTAGGAATCTGTAACCAACTGTCTTCTCAATGGCAGTCTTACCCTCATTTGCTGGTTTGCCATGCATAAATAATAACACTGTTCTCTAGGAATAATTCCAAAAAAGCTCATAAATATACATATCAAATATTCACTTGAGTGAATCTGACAAAGCAAAATATACAAAATAATTTGAATGCCCCCAAACGGTAAATGATTAAATAATCCATTTAATATTCCTACCATTTGATGCAATGTAGAAAAATAATGCTTTGAAACATTTATGTAAGAAAAAGCAGTTCACCACTGCCTGTGAAAGAAGACCCAGGCAATTTATATTCCCCCCACCAAGTTCTTTTGAAAGGCCTAAAATAAGGTCTTTAAAGCTACAAACCCACATGTACACACAGATGGGGAGGGACCAGTTTGGAAGATGGAAGTTCACAGAGCAATGAGAACCATTGTGGAACACAGAAAGCAAAAAGCTGTATAGTTCTGCATATATTCCTATGGACTTACTTCTAAGGGTACAGTTTAAAATCTTGCCACAAGACCCCAAATCCCATTAATCTGGGTGGTAAAAATGCTATCTTAAGTGTTAAAGTGACCATACTAAGTGTTAAAATGATCATATAGATAAGATTAAGTGTTAAAGAAAACATCAATAAGATCAAATGCCTGGTATTAAAAATAGATATAACTAAAAAGGAGAGAGTGCTTCAACGTGTGAGGCTATCCACATAGTAGGCTCATAGAATGACAACTGCTTTAAACAGAACTCTGACCTTAGATTCAGCCCTTAAGGCATTCTGGTTTTGTTGAAAAGCCCATGAGAGCATTTCAGGCATGGAAAGCCAAGACTCTGTGGCAAAAAATGTTCTACATGAAGGATATTTGTGAGAGAGACCCCAGTGGAAAGAAGGGGCCATCAAAAAAGGATGTACTTTTCTCTGAAGGGAGGAGAGAACTTCCACCTTACTTATGGCCTTGTCTAAACACTGATGGAAATTGTGGACTCAAAAGGCTTCCATAGCCTTGGCAGCTCATGTCAAGAGCCTCAGGTGATAACTGACATGATATGTAAGGGTGTTAATTGTTAAATTAACAACAAGAGTCACTGTGCACTTACTCCTCATGAAAGACCTCTGTCCTCAATGTGTTGTATTATGAAAATTAACTGTAAAACTTATTCCCAGTTTTTGAGTGTGTGTGTGCAAATTGTTGAAATCTTTACTTAGTATAGAGTTGGTTTCTGTGTATAAAGTTAATTGAAAATGAATCTTAATGGAGAATGGGACTGGGAATGGGGGAGGGAGGAGGAGGTGGGGTGTGAATTGGGGTGGGAGGGCGGGTCTGGTGAGAAGAATCACTATATTCTTAAAGTTGTACTTAGAAAATTTGTACTCATTAAATAAAATATTTCTTTGGAAAAAAAAAGAAATTGGCTAAATAGATCAAAATATGTATATCAATGGGAAAAAAAAGTCAGTGTGTGAAGAGACACTCCCAAAGACATGCAAAATGGAGAGAGAGCAGGACTCTATGGATTTAGAGACAGTTTGTATCTGTAAAGGCAGCAGGTGCAGGTGTCCTCACTTATGCACATGGGGAACTCTCCCCATTGAGATTTACCCCTGAGACCAAAGTTTTCTGCCTCTTCAATCCCAGAACTGGATAAGCCCCATGGACTCTGACCACCTGATTACAGCCCAGAACTAGAAGGGCCTCAGCAGGGTTCAATATCCTGTGACCTCTATCCAGAAATCTGAGGGTTAAAAGGAAGGAGTTCCTTTATACTCAAGGAAACAGCTGCAGTGATGACAACTCTTGATCTCAATCCCTGGTCACCCAACTAGAGCCCATGGCATCAGATAGGTTGTCCCTGCCCTTATATTAACCCATTGCCAGTAGTTCCCTTTACCCCACTCAGTGATTTATTAACAGGAGCATAGTTTCACAAATCAACTGATCCATGCATTAAAACTAACCAAGGCACAAAAGTGTACCACACAAGTGTACCAGTCCTTCTGAAAATAGCTAGTATTAACAACTGAGGTGACCCTTTGTCACTGCTGGTAGGATTGTCTATGAGTGAATTACTTTGGGAAACTTTTGGAATGTCTATGTGGTTGACATACACACCCTCTATGACTCAGCAAAGTTGCTCAGTGGAGTATAATCAAGATAAAGGCATGCATAAATGCATTAAAATATAAGTTCTAGAATAGTCATGACAACATCATAATAATAATCACAAACTAAACACTATCTGTTATGAACTGAATAATCTCCCCTCTACTCCTCAAATTTTGATATTGAATCTAAACCCCAGTGCAGCTCTATTCAGATATCAAGTATTTCTGGAAGTAATTAAGGTTAATTAAGTCATAAGTTTGGAGAGTTAAGTATAACTGATTTCCCTTTAAGAAGAGACACCAGGGTTCTCTCTCTCTCCCTGTTGGTGCACACAGAAGAATGATCATGTAATGACAGAGAAGGCAGCTATCTAACAAGAAAGGAAGAGAGCCTTCAGCAGGAATCAACTCAGCCATATTTTAATCCAGGACTTCTAGTTTCCAGAACTGTACAAAAATATTTTTCTATTGTTTAAGCCACCTACTGTATGGTGTTGTGTTATGTCAACCTGAACAGATTAATACACTATTTAAGATTGCCAGCAAGAGTAGAATGGATTCCATGACATACCCATACCATGAGTGACTACACAGCAGTGCTATTGAGCAAAACAATACAAATAAATATACAAACATGATGTTGAGAAAGGAAATCCAGGTATAAGCATTCACAAGTTCACTATTCTGTGTATAGAAAGAACAAAACCTGGAATAACTAACATGTGTTGCTAGAAATCAGAACAGTGGTTACAACTGTAAGTAGATGAACAAGGAAGGACAAAGAAGTATGCAGGGCCTGGAACTGAGCTCAAGTGGCTTCTTCTGGGATACTAATAATATTCTGGTTCTCAATCTGGGTATTTATTAGACAAGTGCAACCAATGTGTGAAAGTTCATTAAGACCATATTATGTATTATGTGTATTATGTGTGTTCTGTACTAGTCCATTTTCTGTTGCTGAAACAGAATGCCTGATTCTGTTTATAAAGAAGAGACTGATTTAGTTCCAAGTTTGGGAGGCTAAAAGTCAACTCTCATGGGGTCCTATTCATTTGGCCTCTGGGGAGATGCTAGAGGCTCCCTTTTCTACATCACAACACAGAAGTTGGCATCATGTAGGAGCATGTGAGAGGAAGAGATCAGACGGCATGTGAGAGGAAGATATCAGAGACATTCAGGAGCCAGGCTTGGTCTTTTCATAACAAATCACTCTTATGAGAACTAACTCCCTCCACACAACCCGCCTTAATCCCTTCTGAGGGAAGTATCCTATGGACCTAACTACCTTGTACTAAACCCACTTCTAGAAGATTCCTTGACCTCTCCACATCAGCACATTGGTTACCAAGTTTCTAGCACTTGAATCTTTAGAAAACACACTCACACTATATACAAACTACACAGACACAGACACACACACACACAGTTTCTTGGATATATGCTGTATTTAGTTTAAAACTTAATAGTGTAGACCAGCCTTTAAGAAGTTACCCAATGGAAGAATCAAGGTTAAGACCATATAAATAATAGAATAGAATATAAATGATCAAATATGGCAACTATTTTAGGAAGGATTCTATTGCATGAGCAAACAGAAATACAACTTAAATTTATGTAAATAATACATTGAATAAATTGACTCTAATAAATAAAAATCCAAGAAGTAAATAGAGTTTCAAATACTATTATATAAAGGGGTGGAGAAGAACAGATGACAAGTGATATAGATAGATGGATGATATGGACAGACAGAGATAGATAGATAGATACATAGATACATAGATACATAGATAGATTCACCTCTTACCACATCATCTCCCATAAAGAAAGAAGTCTGAGGGCCAGCACTGTGGCACAGTGAGTTAAGTCTCTGCCTATGATGCGGCATCTCATTTGAGAGTGCTGGTTTGAGACCTGGATGCTCCTCTCCCTATCCAGCCTCCTGCTAATGCACCTGGGAAGGTAGCCAAAGATGGCCAAAGTATTTGAGCCTCTGCCACCCATAGGGGAGACTTGTATTGAACTCCAGACATCCAATTTTGGCCTGTAGCAGCCCTGTCTGTTGAGGCCATCTGGGGAGTAAACCAACAAATGGAAGATCTCTTTCTTTCTCTGACTCTCACTGTCTCTCTGTCACTCTGCCTTTTAAATAAATAAAAATAAATCTTAACAAAAAGAAGACATCTATTCTCTAAATGTGAAAGTATGAGGGCCAACCTTGCCAATGCCAACCATACCACCGGCTGGGCGGCCCCCTCTCAGCCACTGCACATTCATGGCCCTGACTCCAGAATACCAATGGAGGCTGTTCCTCTTCCTACCCATCCTTCAAGCCCTGACTTGAACTCCAGCCCTCCCACGGAGCACAGCCTGCTCTTTGCCAATTAATGCCCTTATACTTGGATACAATCAAACAATAAGACAGGTTTTGCTCTCCCTAGCTGTTCCCTTTCTAGAGAATAAAATGAGGCACACTCTTCCCACAACCTCTGGCGCAGCACAACAGTTAGGCCTAAATGGCATCCATCCCAGCTGTGGGAAGGGAGGGAGGTGGGGCAGCACAAGGTAGGGTAGCTTTCCAGGTGCAGGGCCTGAAAACATCTCCCACTCTATCCACACTCCTGTACAAGGGGGAACCCAAGTGGGTGACCTGCTGCTCAGGCCAGAGGTTGAGAGAGAATTGGGCTTTGGAACTGAGAAAACTATTGGAGTCCAAAGGGCACTCAAAGGAAGAGGAGAAGGAGCAGGCAGCCCAAGTGGGAGGGACTCCCTCATTCCCATCTGAGGCAACCCCCCAGGACACTTCGGGAAAGAAAAACACTGCAGACCCAACTGCCATCCTGTCTGAGCTTAGTCCTTTCAGTCATCTTTACAAGTGGTGGATTATACTTTTACCCTTCCAAATGTTACAGAGAAAAAGGAGAACGGTATATGCTGCTGGTTTATAATTTAATCTCCTAGTGCTGGCTTCTTTTCCGTCCATGGATGTGCAATGTCAAATCACCAGCATCCCAGGAGTCTGAGTGGAAACAAGCTATTTTTCTTCTGTTGTGATGCTGCCCTCTGCTGGATACTGGGAAACTCATGGGTGAAGACTGACAAGGTTTGTCTCTAAAGCTTTGCTTTGGTTTGATCTGATGTCTGTGTGTGTGTGTGTGCTGGGGGGAATAGGGAAGAAGTAATATTTCTGTAAAAAGAAATTAAATTGCTTACTTTTCAATTAAAAAGAGAATAAATATTTTATGTTTTTAAATGATGGAGAAGCAGAGGTGGTTTCAAATATGATATACATCTGTGTTGCTGATGAGCATGAAAGAGTGTGGCTCTTTAGGAAAGTGAATTGTAGAACACAAGAGGTGACATTTTAAAAGGGCTGACCTTTGACCTAGTCCATATTCTGCGAATCTGGATGTTTTTAAGTCATGTTAAAAAATAAAGACTCTTCCCAAAATTACTCATCAAATTATGCCCATAAATGTTCATGTTCAGATGAACAAGCAAAGAAGTTGTCACATATCCACACCAGGCAGATCTTAGAGCAGACTTTGTGTGGGGAGTGCTCCCAGCAACGTGGAAAGTACACAAACCACACCATTCAGACTTGGTGGCGCTTAATCAAGGTGCATGTCAGAACACCTGGAGATGGAAAACACGGATTCCCAGTTTCCATCCAAGAAGGTTCTGCTTTAGTTGGGCTGGGGAGTGGCCTGGCTGTTGGAGTTTTGAGACAGTCCCCCAAATGATTCTTCTCACATCCTTGATATCAAGCTCTCAATTAATTTTTTTAAAAAAAGATACCAGGTGACATACATATGTCAGCTTTACCCCCATAACACATCTAATGGCATTTGGACAGGAAGGAGGAAGAGAACCCTATATCTGGAAATGTACACCCCTTAGAGAGACACCTGTCAAAACTAGAACCATATTTAAGGATGCTCGGACTGCAAGCATGAGGAATGTGATGTCATTTAATACTACAGTATTTCGAAAAATGAGTTGAGCAGTGTTTGGGGGCTGTGGTTGTTCCAAACATTGATATAGAAATCAGCCTGGCCGGCGCCGCGGCTCACTAGGCTAATCCTCCGCCTTGCGGCGCCGGCACACCAGGTTCTAGTCCTGGTCAGCGCGCCGGATTCTGTCCCGGTTGCCCCTCTTCCAGGCCAGCTCTCTGCTGTGGCCAGAGAGTGCAGTGGAGGATGGCCCAAGTCCTTGGGCCCTGCACCCCATGGGAGACCAGGATAAGTACCTGGCTCCTGCTATCGGATCAGCGCGGTGCGACAGCCACAGCATGCTGGCCGTGGCGGCCATTGGAGGGTGAACCAACAGCAAAAGGAAGACCTTTCTCTCTGTTTCTCTCACTGTCCACTCTGCCTGTCAAAAAAAATGTTTTTAAAAATTGTGTGAGCTCAACAAAACACTTCTGGGGGTCAGATTCAGTCTGGGAGTTGGCGATCTCTGAGCCAGAGGAACTGTAATGTACTCATGTCTCAAAAACTCCCCTATTCTGTATAATTCATGTATGATCTTGAAGCAATCAAAAAGAAAAATGAATCACCCTGGTGCATTATTGTGGAAAAAATATGGATTAAATGATATTACAAGTATGTGCTGGAGCAAATGTTTAGCCTAGTGGTTAAGAAGTTGGCATCTCCCACTGAAGTACCTGGATTCAATTCCTGGCTCCAGCTCCTGACTCCAGCTTCCTGCTAATGCGAACCCTGGAAGGCAGCAGTGACAGCTCAAATAATTGGGTCCCTGCCACCTACTTGGGATACCTAGATTGAGTTCTCAGCTTCTGGCTCTTGCCCCCCATCCACCTCTGGCTGTTGACAGCATTTGAAGGTAAACCGCAGGTGGGGGTGCTCTATCTCCCCCTCAAATTTTTTTAAAAATTATTTTTAAAAGTGAATATATTCTTTGAATGATGATGCAAATTTATTTCATAATACATGGAAAGCATATATTATGAAAAACTATGCATGAGTTTCAACCTTTTTCCACCAAAATAAACTCATACCTTTAATTCTATTTTCCTATGAACTTGAAGTTACTTTAGTTCTCCAGAGACAGCCCCTATGATTTCAATCTAGGAATCCCTCTGTTATACTTTCTTTAAACACCTTACTTTTCTTGAGTAGTGGTTATCAAATTCGAGTCTTAAAATATCCACCTGTGTGCATGTTTGCTTAACATCTGCCTTCTCACTATTTGATAGAGGCCGTGATTCTGTTCACCACCATGTGCCCAGGGGCATATGTCTGGCACCCAATGTTGACCTCTTGAGTAGTAGATTTGTCTCATCCCCATCAGAGAAGCTTCTTCTCTCGGAGTCCCTGATCTGACTGGCTGCCGGATGTTTGATCTTTAGGTTCTTGACCTTGGATGATGTCTTGTTTCCATGGCTATGATTCGAACATCCCCACTGAAGTGCATGTTGAAGTTTGATTCCCATTAGATATTAAGAGATGGGGCCAGTGCTGTGGTGCAGTGGGTTAACGCCCTGGCCTGAAGCGCCAGCATCCCATATGGGTGCCAGTTCTAGTCCTGGCTGCTCCACTTCCAATCCAGCTCTCTGCTATGGCCTAGAAAAGCAGTGGAAGATGGTCCAAGTCCTTGGGCCCCTGCACCCATGTGGGAGACACAGAGGAAGCTCCTGGTTCCTGGCTTTGGATTGGTGTAGCTCTGGCCATTGAACCATTGGTCAATATGAACCATTGGATGGAAGACCTCTCTCTCTCTCTCTTTTTCTCTCTCTCTCTCTCTGCCTCTCTTCTCTCTGTGTAACTCTGACTTTCAAATAAATAAATAAATCTTTAAAAAATATATTAAGAGATGAGGTCAGGTGGGACCCTTAGCAGGTGGTTGGGTCATGAGGACTTTGTCCCCAGGAATGGATTAATCCATTTATAGATTAACAGATTAGTGGATTAATGGGCTGTCATGGGTGTGGCTCATGATGAAAGCAGACTGTCTCTGCCTTGCTTGCTCTGTCTTGCCACGTGATGCTCTCTCATGTGGTGACGCACAAGGAAGGTCCTCATCAGATGCTCAGTAGGTTCCAGCTCTTGGACATTTGGAGCCATGAGCTAAATAAACCTCTTTTCTTTATAAACTACCCAGAATGTGGAATTCAGTTATAGCAAATTGGCTAGGGACATTGACCATGGACAAAAAGGATTAAAAAAAAAAACCCTCCTCTGCATATCCCACTGAGTCAGAAAAGAGACCCAGCTCAAACCAGCCACGTGCAGGACATCCCAACTTGGCTTATGGCAGAAGCCCCCTGAATTGGGGGTGGGGGACCCACATTTTGGGAAACACACAGATATCTTCTCTAATAGAAAGCCTGTTTGATCTTGGGTTTGGCAGGGAGAGTAACTATCAGTAGAATTAAATTCTATTGCCTGTACATATTTTACATTCTGATTTTATTGCAGTTAACAAGATTGTTATTACAAAAATAGGCCAGCCCTTCTCCAGATTTACTGAAGAAATCTTATCTAAGACAAATTGCATTTTTTGATGTTACAAAGAATTTCAGAAGAATCATCCCTAAGTCTGTAAAACATCAACCAAAGCCACTTACCCCACAAAGAGCCCCGCACAAAGCACTTAAACTCAGAATGAAGTTCATGGTTGTGGGAGAAATTACAGCAGGAGAAAGGAAGTCAAAACCATACAAAGATAACTAACTGCTCAAGGAGCAGAAAAAGAAAGGAATGGCAAGAGCAGAGAAAATAAGATTAAGGAAGACAGGGGACTGGGGAGAGCTTCAGAAGTGGACATTATCATGGGAAAGGTGTTGGTCCAAAACACCACTCTCTGCTCCTTCAGTCTCTCTCCAAGACTTATGTTCAAGTCCAGCTTCAGATACATCTCGTTCTTGTTGTAGGCTGGCCACAGAGGCAGGTGGTCCCCATTCGGATTCCTGAGAGTGAGAGCAGCAGAAGTGAGACTGACATCCTCTGACATCATGTTAAGGGAGACAACAGGTTCATTACCCAGTAGTGGGGACATGACACACTCACTTACCCAGTCCGAGCAAAGTTGCCCCAGTATCTCATCATCTTCCTGCTCAGCAATTTCTCCTCCTCAGTGGCTCCTTCTGCAGGAGACAATCACAAAATCCAGCTGCTCACAGTGATTCCTCAGAAGCACAAGGCATCTCACATTCCATGAATCCCTTTCAAATCTCTCTTCCCGTTGGATCCTTACAAGCCTGCCAAGTCATTGTACCCATTCCATGTATGCAGATACTGAGGCTCAGAGCACCTGTGATTTGCACAAGCAATGGTGGCTTCCAAACAGTGCATCTTCCCAGTCTACCTTGCGCCCTTGTGCACTTCCAACCATTTCTATGAGGCTACAGTTTCATTGAGGACAGACCCTCAACCTCTCTCTCACACACACACATATGCACATATTTTATAAACAATTAATTACAGCTGTCCTTTAATACCTCAAGGGCTTGGTTCCAGGACCTGCCATAAATACCAAAATCCTTATATATCCTTATATATCAAATTCTAGATTACTTAGAACACCAAATACAGGGGTGGGGGTTGTAGCACAGTGGGTTAAGCCTCCATTCAGGATGCCTCTATCCCACATTGGTGGGTCTAGGGTTAAGTTCCACCTCTGCTTCTTTCTGGCTACCTGTCAACGCACAACCTGGGAGGCAGCAGTGATGGCTCAAGTACTTGGTTTCCTGCCACTCATATGGGAGACTGGGATGGAGTTCCTGGCTCCTGGCTTTAGCATGGTCCAGCCCTGGCTATTTGTGGGCATTTTAGGTGGGAACCAAGAGACAAATGATTCTCTCTCTCTCTCTCTTTTCCTTTCCTTTCCTTTCCTTTCCTTTCCTTTCCTTTCCTTTCCTTTCCTTTCCTTTCCTTTCCTTTCCTTTCCTTTCCTTTCCTTTCCTTTCCTCCCTCCTTCCCTCTCTCTGTCCCTCTACCTTTCAAATAAATAAAAATCAATAACTTTATTTTTCAAAAGAATATCTAATATCATGTAAATTAAATAGCTGTTATACAGTATTGTTTAGGGAATAATGACAAGAAAAAAAGTCTATGAATGTCTAGTACATATACAATTTTCCCCCAAGTATAGAGAGGGGCAACTATATTCTATTTCTTCATTTAAAAAGGCAATACTTAGTCAAAGTACAAAGGCCAAAATCCAAAATATGGTAAGAAAATCCAACATCTAATGAAAATCAGTTTCCTTCCTTCTCTTCCTTTTGGACCCTTCAGTTACAACCTCAGAGGCAACCAGTGTGATCAAATTTTCAGGCACTTACAGGAAAGCAGGTTCCACATGCACCAGGGTATAAGTAAGCTCTTTCTTTTCACACATTTGGGAGTCTATTTGCCACATATTCTAGATCTTTTTCTTTTTACTAAAATTGTAGCCAGGACATTGTCACCTATAAAGTTTCCATTTATAATTCTATAAATACCTAGACATAAATTATGTATATATAAAATATATATATACAGTTACATAATATTGTAACTCATGTATCCAGTATTCTACTGATGGATGTTCATTTTGTTTCCAATCTTCTGCTGGCAAAAACAATGCTTCAGTGTGCACATATATTTTTGCACATGTGGAAGTATATTTGCACAAAAAATCCTGGAAGAAAAATTGCCAAGGTCAAGACTGCACGGATTTTAAATGTTGGTAGTCTTCTAATAATGTATAGAATGGTCTGTTTCCCACACCTGCTTGAATCCTTTGTTGAAAATGCATTGTTCTTCCCAACTTGAATGATGAAAAATGATTCTCCAGTCAAAGTTAGTCTTCAGTTCTTATGTGGTGAGTGAGGTAAAATGGATTTTCATACATTTAAAAGTCACTTGGGTTTCCTTCCCCATAAAATGTCAGTTTGTATCTGTTGCCAAATTTTTTATTAGGTTGTTCTTTTCTCATTGATTTTAGTAGCTCTTTAAATATCAAGGATACATTCAGTGTTCATATTTTTTCCAGTTTGGAAAGTCCCTGTGCCATCACACAGAATGGGCCCAGTAATGGTTACTGAGTAATAACATCATTTATTAAGCACTCAACTGTGTGCTCTATGGAAATTGTTTCATTCAATCTTAGATGGCAACCTATTAGGTAGTCCTGCTGTTATCTTTGTTATAAGATGAGGATGAAGAAATGAAATAATGAATAAACCACAGTGAACAAGCACCCCTTTAAGGGAGATCCTGTCTTCATTGACTAGTACATTGTATTGTTCTTAGCTAAATATTTTAGTGATAAAACCACATGTGCAATTTTTCTTTAATGTTTTCTACTGATAATCTCATTTGATTTGTTGATTATTTGAGGCAAAGAACATGTCATCAATTCAGTAATAAATGAGCAAATATCACTAATACCAATTCACAAGGCATTTGGATCCAGACAATTTTGAGCTAGAATAATGGAAAAAACATGGTCCCTGCTTGTTAATGCATGGGTGGTAGCTTCATGGGATTTCTGAGAAGGGCAGGGAGAAGGGAGATCAGTAGTCAATGAGAAAGAAGAAAATAATTCTAATTGTTTTTCAAAAAATTGCCTGAGGGCCCCAAAATACCTAACCCTGCAGGCTTTGGTATAAAATTCAATACTCACTGAGAAAACGCTTGTAGCTCTTTTTAGTACTGGTTTCTTAAAGTTAAGTGCAGGCATTTTCCCAAGAAAGGATGTGCTGGTCTTTAAGCCATGGATGTCATTTAATTCCAGCCCACCAGTCACCGTGGACTTGCAGAGCAGTGGGGTGAGCAGGGAGCTATGCTAACTGTGGAGACCCAGAATCTTCTCCCCACCTGCAAAAGCAGGAGCCCCCCTGCAGTCAGGTCCTTACCGAACATGACAACGTCGCCCGTCAGGAAGGCACCTCCAAATACAAAGCGGATTTCATCTGAGTGATCAGCTTTGACAAAAGCAGGCTTCGTGTTTTCAAAGCACTGGGGTCGATGCTGAAACTCGTAGAAGTAGACGGGTGCACCAGCATCTGAGAAAAGGTCAGGAAAGGTCAGGCATGCACACAGTGGGGAGCAGGGGCCAGCCCTGCATCTCTAGCTCTGAAGTCCTGGATTTACAGATCCACAGGTGGAACAGCTCAGAGACAAGAGGTGGCCTACATCAGCCTAACTTCTCCCCTCCTCCTTTGAGACCAGCAGTTCCTGCTACAACAGCCCTAATACTCCCAGTGACAACGAGATAGCTACCCCTCAGGAAGCCTGAGAAGGCAATAGTTCTACTCCTTGAAATAGTCCTTCAGGGGACAGGACTGTGGCGCAGCCGATATAGCTGCTGCTTCTGACCCCAGGAATCCCCTGTCAGAGTGCTACTTTGAGTCCCAGTTGCTTCACTTGTAATCGAGTTCCCTGTTAATGCACCTGGGAAGATAGAGGAGGATGGCCCAAGTGCTTGGGCTCCTGCCACCTATGTGGGAAACTCAGATGGAGTTCCAAGATTCTGGCTTTAGTCTGGCCAGCCCTGGCTGTTGTGGCCATCTAGGGAGTGAACCAGCAGTGGAAGACATCTCTCTCTCTCTCACTGTCACTCTGCCTTTCAAATAAATAATTTTTTAGAAAGAAAGTCCTTCATACTGAACACAGATCTACCTGGTTGTGACTTCCTCTCATCTACCCTGGTTCAACTGTATGGAGACAAATGGAGCAAGGCTCATTCCTGCTCCCATGATTAATCCATGCATGTGCACCCCACATTCGTTCGCTTCTCTTCTGAAAATCTTTACTCTGTAATGTCTTTGTTTAAGCTTTTATTTATTTATTTATAAGAGAGAGAGAAATTCCCATCTACCAGTTTACTACCTAAATGTTTGCAACAATTTGGCCTGGGTCAAGCTAAAGTCAAGAGCCAGGACCTCCGTCTGGGTCTCCCAAGTACTTGTTTTCCATCATATGCTGCTTCCCAGGCACATTAGAGGAAAGCTGGATTGGAGGCAGAGGTGGGACTCCATCCCAGGCACTCTGTGATATAGGATGTGGGAGTTCCAAATGGAAGTTTAACTTGTTCCACAATGCCCACCCCTACTAGATTTTTCTTTAATCACCAAGTAGTTTACTACTGCATGAATGTTTTACAATTTGCTTATTCATTCATCTAATGATAGAAATTTGGGTTGTTTGGAGATACTAAAGCTGCTGTCTACAAGTCTCTTGTATGGAAAATGCGTTCATCTCTCTTCAGTGAATGTCTAGGAGTAGAATAGTTAGATAATAGAGTAGGTAGGTGTTTAAGTTCATAAGAAACTGCCAGTTTTCTAGAGTGGTTGTACCATTTTACATTCCCACCATCAGTACATGAGAATTCTGAACACTCCACATCCTTGTCAATATTTCCTGGTATGATTCACGTTAATTTTAGCCACTCCAGTGGGTGAAAATTGTTACTTCATTTTGCTGATAACTAATAATGTTGAGCACTTTTTTGTGGGCTTTGGAATTTCCAAATATCTTCTTTTATAAGGTATCTTCTCAAGTTTTTTAATCCATTATTAAAAAAGATTGTCTTTATTACTGAAATATAAGAGCTCAATTTTGGATATGGATTAGTAAAAGTATTTCTCCAAAACCACTGCTAATATTTTGATTGATATTGGAATGCTACTGTGTGTAGAGATCAGTTTACTCATTTTACCTTGAACCCATTTTAGTAAAATTTTCAGTCCCCCATCATTTCATCACAATATTTCTTTTCAGTGTCATCCATGGTCTCCATGTTGCCAAACTCAGTCCTCATCTAATCTGTCATGTATCATCCTGGCAGACTTTAAAAACAGTGACCTCCCTGTCACTGCTAACCTTCCTTGCCAGATTTTACTCCATTGCACTATCATCTGAGATATTCTAGATTTACTTGTTTTTCTGTTACCAGTCTCCTCTACTAGAATGTTTGTGTAATGGCGGCATGGTTTCTCTTTTGCTCACAGTTCCAGGCACATAGCATACCTTTTTTTTTTTTTTTGACAGGCAGAGTGGACAGTGAGAGAGAGAGAGAGAAAGGTCTTCCTTTGCCGTTAGTTCACCCTCCCATGGCCGCCGCGGCCGGTGCGCTGTGGCCAGCACACCACGCTGATCCGAAGCCAGGAGCCAGGTGCTTCTCCTGGTCTCCCATGGGGTGCAGGGCCCAAGCACTTGGGCCATCCTCCACTGCCCTCCCGGGCCACAGCAGAGTGCTGGCCTGGAAGAGGGGCAACCGGGACAGAATCCAGTGCCCCGACCGGGACTAAAACCCGGTGTGCCGGTGCTGCAAGGCGGAGGATTAGCCTAATGAGCCGCTACGCCGGCCATAGCATACCTTTGATAAATGCATTAAAAGGAAAGGGAAAAGGGGAGTTGGAGGGAAAGGTGGAGAGGAAGGGGGAGGGGAAGGCAGAGGAAGAAGAGAGGAAAGGAGGGCAAGAGAAGGGAAGGGATGGGAGGAAGGAAGCCAGGGAGAGAAAGAAGCATTAGGATTGCATCCCTACAAGTAATCTTCCTTCCTGATTGTTCCATACTCCTTATAGCTAGGATGTTCTGGAAGACATCTCCAAAGAGAAAAGAAATATATATATATATATATATAGGAGAATGGGCCACAGAAAATTGTGGGAAGGTAGAAATGTTTAACATGGTCCTGAAAAACAGGAAGGGACAGAAACAAGTATTGACCAACATTCTCAAACTCTGAAAGGCAAGGAACTTGCAAACTCAACATGGCACAGTTGTGTCTCAGACACACCTGGGGATCCCTCTCAGTGAAGGAGCAGAGAGGAGGAGCAGACAGCTGGCCAACAGACAAGTTAGATCCCTGCTGCCATAAGTCTCACCGGGCTGTGGTCCTGGGGCTGCTCAGAGACTCACCTCTGTGATAGCGAGCTGTGATCAGCGCAGGGACCACAAAAAACACATCTCCAAGCAAGTCCAGGAGACTATCTCGGATCTCAACTGAAGAGTTCTTGTCACGAAAGTATTCATTAGACACAACATGCAAAAGCTGGGGAGGAATGTTCTGCAAGACATCACAATCGTAGGAGATTCAGATCACCATAATGGTCAGCATATTAGGCACTTGCCTGTGCAGGCATACTTCTGAATACGTTATGTGCATTGCCCTGGGTAATCCATACAGCAATTTCATGATGCAAGTATCAAAATTAGCCCCATTCCACAGGTCAGGAAAATGAGGCTTAGAAAGTGTAAGTGGTTGGTTCAAATGGGTCTATTTGCATTCAAATATCATGCTTCTAAGCACAGTGACAAACCTCACTAACATGCTTCAGAAAGAGTCACTCCTGGCCAGATATGGTTACACCATTTGCGGAGCTCAATGCAAAATGAAAATGTGGGCCTCCTCTGTAAAAATTATTAAGAAACAGGACTGGTATTGTGGTGCATCAAATTAATATGCTACCCTCAACACCAGCATCCAAAGTGGGCACCGATTTGAGTCCCAACTGCACCACTTCCTTTCCAGGTCCCTGCTAGTATACCTGGGAAAGCAGCAAAAAAATGGTCAAAGTCCTTGAGCCCCTGCACTCATAGGGGAAGCCATTTCATGTCCTGGATGCTCCACTTCCCATTCAGCTCCATATTAATGTGCCTGGGAAAGCAGAAGAAGATGGCCCAAGTACCTGGGCTCCTACCACCCATGTGGGAGACCGGATGGAGTTCCAGTCTCCTAGCTTCACTGGTTGTTGCAGCCATTTGGGGAGTGAACTAGCAGATAGAAGATACCTCTCTTTCTCCCACTCTCTGTAACTCTGATTTTCAAATAAATACGTAAAATTTTTAAAACCTATTAAGAATTTCAATATGGGCACAGCAGAGCATCAACCCAAAAGTAGGATCCTTCTGACTACATGAGCCACACATCATGAAATTGGCTTTGCTCCAGGTCTCGGTACTGCCTCCAGTTCTTTGCTATTTTATCTAACCCAGTTGGTCTCTTGGAACCCTCATATGCTCATCTGTGGGAACACAGGTTGCTGCATGAGATATGAAGAGAAAAGCACTGCTGGTACAGAGTAGGTTCTGTTGGTTCCGCTGCTGAGTGCCTTAATGGGGCATTTGATGCCGTCTTTGACTCAGCATAAACCTGCCTTCAGGTTTTCTCCCTTAACTTGCTCCACCAACAAAACGAGGAGGGTGCAAGGTAAACTCTATGAGGATTCAAGGATCTACCACAATGATGATATTTTTATGGAATCTGGTGCTCCAGGGGATGCTGGACAAATTGCTATACCTCAAACCATTGCCACACACAGCCCTTGGTAGATTTCTTTGAAATTTTGAGGCATGGCAGCAGATGCCACATCTGGGAATGATACTCAGATCCATTTATTGGATCTTCACAAGCCTTATAGTTTTTAATCAGGCTCAGAGCAAGGGTGGGCTCTGCAGCATGTACAGGTTGGGGTGCAAGGGCCTGGCACTTGAATCATATGGTCAGTAGGCCCCATAGGGCTAGAGGTATCCAAGATGGGTAGACAGTCTTATTCAGTCACTGGTGATCCTTATAGGCTAGTGACAGTGCACACCCCTGAAGTTTGGGAGAAAGGCCATGCATTCTGCATCAGAGAACTACTTAACATGTGCAAAGCAGCTCCTGGTGTGCTGCCAGGGCTAGGAGAGACCACATATCCTCCCATTCCTCTTGTACCTCCTCATATAATCTATTTCCTACTACTGTGACTTGGCTTAAGATAACTTCTGCTCTTGAAATGCCCTCCTTCTCAAGAGTTCCCCTACACTGAAGTCCAGACCTGTGATCACCTCTTCCATGCACCCATCTCCAATCCAGCCTTGTGGTCTACTATCCAACTTATATTTTAAATGTCTCTCAAACCTTAGTCCCAGTTCTCAGCAACAGATGCCAGGAGTCATCCAACATCCCTCCACATAGCCTTAGGGACTGAGGGATCCTCTACTCCCAATATGGCCTACATTGTACTCAGAGGGTTCCTTCCAAGAGGAAGCCAAATTATTTCATTCTTCTTCCTATTTCCAATCCTTGGGATGACGGTTCTACTCCTTCCATGGTGTGCAATACTGCAAGCAGCCTCTCTGAGTACAGCCAACCTCTCCACATTCCTCTGGGGTTGGGGGCAGCACCTCAATACCTACATTAACATATCTACATAGCAACATCTGAACAGTAGGACAAATTAGTGAATGAATATGTAGAAACAATAAAAGCTAATGGCCACAAATCAGTCAAGGTCAGATTTGGAGTCCAGCTTGGTTTCAAAAGTCCTTAAGGTTTTTGGACTGTGAATGAAGGACTACAGGCCTATGTGTAGCATAGATCTGTTGAACGAGTAAATGAATAAGAAATGTCTATGCCCCCAGATCCTATCTTGAGAATAGTCCAGAGATGTTTGTTAAGTGGATGACTCTTTGGCGAGTCCCAGTCAACCAAGTTCACTTACCAGTATAGTGTGTATCACATGAAGGGCAAGAGTCTTGTTGGATCCATCAAGGATATTAGGGATTGTCTTCTGTGGAGAGAAGGAGGGCATCTTCTGTGAGTCTTCTGGTCAGAAACCAGTCTTTCTGAGGTCCTGGGCATTTGACTTCCCAAGGAGAGGATGGAAACAGTAGGAAATCCTTCATCCCCAGGCAGCCACATGCAGGAGCCCAGCTAACCCCCAACCAGAGGAAATGACCCCATTATCTGATGAACTGTATACCCCTTGATGTCATACTTTGAAATCCTAACTCCATTATCTTTGTGTATGATTTCATTTGGAGAGAGGTCCATTGAAGAGGGGATGATGTAGTGTGGACCCTCATCCATTCTGGTTAATAATGTCCTAACAAGGGAAAATTGACACACAAACAGACACCAAGAATCAAGAACATAGAGGATAGACCATATGAGGACACAGCAAGAAGGTGGCCATCTGCCAACCAATGAGAAACCAAACCCACCCACACTTGGTCTTGGACTTCTAGGCTCCAGAACTATAAGAAAATAACTGTGTGTTGTTTAAGCCGTCCAGTCCATGGTATTCTGTTATGACAGCCTGAGTTGACTAATACAGGCTTTGACATCAAGTTCAAAGGGAAGCCAGAAAATGTTGAGACTAGTGGTTTGTTTTGCTTCCAAGGCCTTTGCAATCTGGGCCTCCGAGGAGCCAGCAGTAGGGGGTCAGGCAGTGAGGCAGCGGTTGAGAGCACAAGCTCTGCAGCCGGACGGCCTGAACTCGGATCTCTGCCCTGCAGTTCACGAGCTGTGAACTTGGCAGGGGCCTCACGTTTTCATATCTCAGATTCCCCACCTATAGGATAGAGATGGCAACAGTCCCCACCTGAGAGAGGTGATATTTGCAAATCACTGACAACAGGGCTGGCTACCTATTAAGAGCTTGATATAATTATTTGTGAAATGATCATCTTCTAGAAATTTTACAGTGGAAAAACATGAGGGGGTAAAAATATTATTTACTTCTCAAATGAATTTTGCTGGCCCATGTTCTGCTGGAAACCGTGGCATAATGAATCACTAGCCATAGATACTTAAATGGATTTGTCTTCTGGAATGCGAGAGAGTCTCCAAAGTCATTCAAGTTATCCATGAGTATAATTTAAACACTGAGAGTCCTCTGTGTGTGTTAAGAAGCTGGCATTTTGTTTTTGTTGTTGTCTGTAGGATTTCTTATGGTCTCCAACAACCAGGAATGGGGCTAACTCCAAGTTCACATGGAATATCAGCACTGATACAGGGTCTGAGCACCAATTTCCATCCTGTCACTTGTAAAATTTCAATACATAGCATCTACTGAGTACTTACCATATGTCAGGGTATTTGATGTGTATCAGTGAAGCAGGCACTAACATTAGACCTTTGTCACAGGTAACAGAAGAGGCTCAGTCAAAAAGCAGAGAACCCAGCATTTAAGGCAGAGTCTAAATGTATAAAAATTATATATCACTGTTTCCTTACTAGCTGGGAGACAAGAAAATAACTTTAACTTCTCTGAGCCTCAGTTTCTTTAAATGGGATAATAATAGCTGTTTTCAAGTTGTTGCACAGATATAGCATGTACATGGGACATGGAGAGCACTCGGGAACTGGTCATTATGGCTATAGTGGTAGCTATCATCAGTAGCACCTTCCCCCTTTCCAGGGCACACAGTCTGTGACTCAGGCACCACCTTTACAACATGAGGACAAAAATACCCAACCCCACTGACCCTGAAAGATTGCTCTGGAGACCAAATTAAGAATGGTCGAGCATACTCCAACAACTCTAACTCAGGATTCTGGTTCTAGGCCCCCACCAACTAGTTTTATAATTTGGCAAATACCTTTGATGTGAATGGAATAGGAGAGGGAGTGGGAGATGGGAGGGTTGTGGGTGGGAGGGAAGTTATGGTGGGGAAAAGCCACTGTAATCCAAAAGCTGTACTTTGGAAATTTATATTTATTAAATAAAAGTTTAAAAAAAGAAAAAGATAAAAACAAGGAGTTGGACTACATAAATGGACTTTGACGGTATGATGAATTTGAATCCCCCAATCTGCTGAGAACACATGGAAAGTATATTTCCAATGGGAAGGATCTCTTAAATCACAGAATTGGGGTCGGCGCTGCAGCATAGGAGTAAAGCTACCATCTGCAGTGTCGGCATCCCATATGGGCGCTGGTTCAAGTCCCAGATGCTCCACTTCCTATCCAGCTCTCTGCTATGGCCTGGGAAAGCAGTAGAAGATGCTCCAAGCCCTTGGGCCCCTGCACCTGTATGGGAGGCCCAGAAGAAGCTCCTGGCTCCTGGCTTTGTATCGGCACAGCTCCAGGCATTGTGGCCAATTGGGGTGTGAACCAGAGGATGAAAGACCCACCCCGCCCCGTGTGTGTGTGTGTGTGTGTGTGTGTGTAACTCTGGCTTTCAAGTAAAATAAATAAATCTTTTTTTAAAAAAAAGTCAGAGTCAAGGCTCCTTCTCCACATCCAGGCCTTAGCTCAATGATCTCTCCTCAAAGTCTCTCTTGACCTTTGATCTTTTGTCCTCCCTGGAGACACCACCTCTCTCCACTTCTGTCCTCAGAACACTCAGCACTTTCTGAAGCTGTCTTTTGAACCATGGATTTCATCTGTCTTCTCCCTCAAGAATGTAAGCTTGGGACAGGCAGGCGGCGCAGCAGCTAAGATGCCACTTGGGACAGCCACTTCTCATAGTGGAGTACCCGGGTTCCAGTACCAGCTCCACTTGTCAGCCCAGCTTCCTGCTAATGTGTGCCCTGGAAGGCAGTAGGTATCAAGTACCTGGGTCCCTGATGCCCACATAGAAGACGCAGGTTGACTTCAAAACTCCTGGTTTTAGCTTAGCCCAGCCCCAAATGTTATGGGGTTTGGGGAAGCTGGAAAAAGCTGAAAGCATGTGACTTGTTCTCTATTGGATGTTCAGTTTTTATAAGCATGTGGTAAATGCTCTACGTATACTTGTTGAGTGGATTAAATGATTTAATAATGCTTCAACTTGAAAATCTTACAAAGCATTCTTGGAAGTCAAAAATGCCAGAATCAGGGGTGGACATGAAAAGTTTAAAGGGCTGAAGTTTTCCAAACTGGAGTGTATCTCTGAAGTAACTACTTTTACTTGAAATAATTATGTTATCATTTTTAGAAAAGATCCAATAGATCTAATTGTCTCTTTTATTTTTATAGTTGTTTTTTCCATCTCCATAAACATGTATGAGGGGCAAGGCAAACACTGTGGTGACTCCCCCAAGTCCTCAATTACCCTCTGCTACGGTTTGGATCTCCCCCAAGGGCTTGTAGTCTGGAAGCTTGGTCCCAATGGAACAGTATTGAAAGGTGATGGATCTTTAAGGGGTAGGGCCTGGAGGAAGGTGATTAGGCTATGGGAGCACCACCCTCAGAAAGGACATAGTTTTGTCCGGACTGGGTTAGTTTTCACAAGAGCCAATTGTTATCAAACAAGGCCACTTCATATACTTAGCCCCTTCTGCACACAGCCAGTTCTCTTTCCATATCTGCACCATGTGCAGCCAAGGGAACCCATGCCAGCCACCAGAAATATGAGCCAAATAAACCTCCTTTTTATACACTAGCAAATATGAAGCATTATGTTATAGTAACACAAACATACTAAGGTTCCACGTCTAGAGAGAGGGGAGATTATCACTGAGTGGTTGGCTGATGGGCTGCAGTTCTCATAACACTTGGGGTCCTCTAGGGAAACTCCCAGCTGTTGAAGCAAATAGCTGCATCACGGGTGGTGGTGGTGGTGGGAAGGTATCTAGGGCAGGCAGCCACAAATCTTACCATGGGCAGCAGGTAGCCGCATTCTTGGTTATTGACTCCAATGATAGAAGGAACTGCTTTGAAGGATTTTTGAGACAATAGTTCTATAGGATCTTCAGGAAAGAAAAGACCATCAACCACTCGAGTAAAAGACTTTGTTTTCTGCAATAAGGAAGAGAAGAAAACTCAGTAGCTGCTTCTGTTTGCAGAACTGCTATTCCCAAATCCTAGCTCAGCTAAGCCAAGCCAGTCTAGCATTAGTCAAAATGCATCTAGAAAGGTTCCTGGAGCAGCAGAATTAGTGTTATTTGGGAACTTGTTAGAAATGCAGATTCTCAGGCCCCACCCCAGGCCTGTTGATTATGAAACGCTAAGAGTGCATCCCAGAAAATTTCTTGTAGCAAGTCTTCCAGGGCATTCTGATGCATTTTCAAGTTTGAGAAACATGGGACAAATGCAATGGGCAAAATGGGGAAGGACAGAATGGCCACCACAGCAGAAATCAAACTGAGCATCTTCCTAAGATGTCTTACTCAGAGCACTGTGCCTTGGACATTGCGGGATATTTCTTGGATCTCAGAAAGCAACACCTATCTCTCATCATGTTTTTTTTAAGGTTTCTGTTTTGGGAGTTCAGTAGAAGGGAGCATAGGACTGAGCTAAACACACATTAAGTCAAGAACTTACACATTTCATGTGCTCATAGTTCATATCAAATATTCATCACATGGCAGTTAACTAATGTTGGGTTCTGACATATGATGATCTTGCTCTTTCAGACTACCAAAGGGGGGTGGGTGTTTGGCACAGCAGTTAAAGTCACTGCTTATGATGCCTGCATCTCATATCAGAGTCCTGGTTAATCCATTTCTAATCCAACTTCCTGCTAATGTGCACCCTGGAAGGCAGCAGATGATGTCTCAAATACTTGAATCCCTGCCACCTATGTGGGAGACTCAGATTGAGTTCCAGGCTTCGGGCTTCAGTTTGGTCCAGCCCCAACTGTTGTAGGTATTTCAAAAGATTTCTCTACATCTGTCTCTATATCCTCTATCTCATTTTGCCTTTCAAATAAAATTAATTATTTTTAAAAAGATGATCCAAGGCTCTCAAGGTTAGAAGGCATATATAAAATCATCTGATCTAACTAATCACCAGTGATTAAAAGTTTGTAAAGGAGAGGGGCTGGCGCCATGGCACAGTAGGTTAATCTTCCACCTGCAGTGCCAGCATCCCATATGGGCGCTGGTTCGAGTCCCGGCTGCCCCTCTTCCAATCCAGCTCTCTGCTATGGCCTGAGAAAGCAGTGGAAGATGGCCCAAGTCTTTGGGCCCTGCACCCACATGGGAGACCAGGAAGAAGCTCCTGGCTCCTGGCTTCAGATCAGCACAGCTCCAGCCGTTGTGACCATTTGGGGAGTGAACCAATGGAAGGAATACCTTTCTCTCTTGTCTCTTCCTCTCAAAGTCTGTAACTCTCACTCTCAAATAAAATAAATAAAATCTTTAAAAAAAAGTTTGTAAAGGATCAGCTAGACCTTCCTCAGTTATCTGCAGAGCTGGACAGTTCACCTGGCCCTTTTCTCGGCAACTGAGGTGTTAGAAAGTTCTCAGTTTTACCCACCCAAAATGGCCTATTCATAGAACTTCCCGCTCCTGGCTTGACTACAGCTTCTAGGGGCCTCTGGAGCAAGCGTGGGCCCTGGTCCCAGTAAGATTCCTTCACTGACTTATGGGACAACTCTTGCATTTTTTTCTGGAGCTTCTCCAGGCTAAGCAATACCCCTTCTCCAGAGTTTCTTTAATTACCCATGAGGGTTCTAGATACCACTTTCTCTTATAGCTGTTAACACAAGTCCCCAACCCTACCCTTTTCCAAGTCCCAAACTTACAAAAAGAAGGGTAACCCTGACCCAGAACTCTACCCTCCCTCATCACCTGGTTGAGGCTCAGCAACTCCTTGGAGGATTTTGCCCTCAGGCACTTCAGCAGGGCCAGGGAGTCTGATGCGTTGCAATTACAGGCTTGTGCCACAACCTGCAACTATTTCCAGAGAAGAACCAGGTCAGAGCATGATATTGAAAGCATCTATGGAAAATGAAAGTCTGGAAGTGTCCTCCAAGCAGCCATAGGCTGGTCCTTCCTACATGAAGCCACAGCCATTTCCAGCTACTGAAGATAGGTTGGCACTGCACTGTCCTTACTCTCTTGCCTGGCCCTCCTGGCATCTTTAGCAAATGCCAGAGCTGGGGATGCCATTGTGTCAGCCTATGGTTGTAGAATGGCATGAAGAATCCTACAAGCTTAGCTGCATGGCACTAGGCCCCATGGAGCCCAGTGGTCCAATCTTGGGGTGCCAAATGAAGCTAGGAGTCCCTAGAGTGGTGAGTAGTTTTGCAAGCTCCTAATCACCAGATGCTCAATTTGCCAGCTCTATCCAAGCTCCCACCCCACCACAGCCTAACACGCCCTAGACATTAGTTTCTTCTTCTACACCAATTCTGCAATTTCCTTTAAAGGTCCAGACTCTGCCTCCTTTGAAATGTCCTTTCAGATCATCACAGCCTTCATTAAACCCTTTTCTCATCTAATCTCCTGTCATCCTGAGAACCCTTACCTTCCCTACCTAGCCCATTTGCTAAATACCTTCTTGCACAAGGGCCAGAGCCATGGCTCACTTGGTTAATCCTCCGTCTGCGGCGCCGGCATCCCATAAGGGGGCTCGGTTCTAGTCTCAGTTGCTCCTCTTCCAGTCCAGCTCTCTGCTGTGGCCCAGGAGGGCAGTGGAGGATGGCCCAAGTGCTTGGGCCCCTGAACCCGCATGGGAGATCAGGAAGAAGCACCTGGCTCCTGGTTTTGGATAGGTGCAGCGCCAGCCATGGCGGCCATTTGGGGAGTGAAACAACGGAAGGAAGACCTTTCTCGCTGTCTCTCTCTCTCACTGTCTATAACTCTATTTAAAATTTAACTAATTTAATTAATTTAAAATATAACTCTATTTAAAATTTAAAATAAATTTTAAAAATACCTTCTTGCCCTATCATTGACCTTCCATATTTGTAGACTTTGTCCATTAAAAGTGATAGTCACTAATTTTCTGGGAGGCGTAGATGCTCTGAGAATCCAGTGAAAACTACACACTCTCTTCCTTCTCCCATGAAAAAATCACAAGCACATCAAGTCTGCATGCAATCGAGGGTATTCACAAATCCACCCAAACCTATCCATAAATTCCAGGTAAAAACAGAAAGATTCTATACCTCCAAATTCAGGTTATATATTCTCCACTGACAAAATAGGCCCTAATAGAGCTGAGAAAACAATGGGCACTCAATAAATGTTCTGGGGGTGAATAAATATAAGCACAAACTCAAAGTAGCTATATCTATAATGATACCACAAATCAATATACTGAGGGTATTTTTACAATTTCAGCTCTGTCTCAACTTTCTTAGAACATTGTTATTTTTATAATATATTTAAGAAGATTTACCACTAGAAAGATTAATACCCAGATGACTGCCCAGGCCAGTGCTCAATTTAAACATTGAATGAATTAGTTCATTAACTCATTCATTTATTCAGCAAACATTTATGGTTCCTAATATATCTCAGGTATTATGCTGGGAGTATGAAGCAAAAAGAGATCCTTGTTTCCAGGTCCTTACTATCTGGTAGAGAGTTAAGACAAAATAACAGATGACAAATATCAGAAATATATGCCAACCCCCACCCCTGAAATCTCATGCTAGTCACCATTAATCAGAGTGCTATTTACCACTGGGCTAGAAATAGCCTCAGAATCTCTTAACACAGTACTCTAGGTAGTGAATCCCTGTGGAATAGAGGAGATTCAGGAATGGGCTGTACATAATACAAGAGACTGAGTTATATGTCACAAGAAAGAATAATAGGTAAGATGTAAGTACTATAGCATACATGTTCACACACACTCATGCACATCAACAATGCTGCATTCACAGCTTGACCCATAGCCTGTTGAGTCAGACCTTTTATGAAGGAATAAGGCTCACTTTGGGCCAGCATCAAGTTCCTGGAGCATGGTCCATAAGGAAAGCCAAGCACATAGGGAGGAGGTGATGGTCTATGGACTCCTGACCAAAAAGAGGAAGCTAGAGAGATATTAACAAGATACCTACATCTTTACTCCTCTCATCATCAGGGGACTTCAGATAGGGAATGATGGCCACTCCACTCTCCATGATGGCTCTGTGGAATAAGCCACTGGCCATGGGGGACAGAACCTGGAGAGAGAACACAGAGACCCAAGAGAAATTATCCAGATTACACTCCTCCTCATGTGTACCATCCACTCCTTCAAAGAAAACTTCCCAGAAAGCCTCCTTAAGCACTGTAACCTTACAAAGCCTGGTCTCGGGGTTTGAGGATTAGCTGTGAAAGTTTGGGCGAGTTACTTAACCTCCCTGAGCCCCAGTTTCCTCATAAACTTTGAAGTGAAATCAAACACTGTGGCACCTGGGTTCTGGCTCCTTCAATTCCTAGATGAGTTACCTCAGGCAAGTTGCTTAATATTTCTCAACATCCATTTACTCCCCTGCAAAATGGGAGGAAACATTAAGCTCAAATCACAGAACTGTTGTGAAGAATAGGGGAAATCATTAACATGAGGGGTGGGTGTTTGGCCAGTGGTTAAGTGACCACTCTGGACATCAGCATCCCATATCAGAGTGCCTAGCTCAAGGCCCAGCAGTTGCACTCCTGATTCAGCTTCCTGGGAGTACACTGGGAGGCAGCAATGATGATTCAAGTACTTGGGTCCCTGTCATGTGAGAAACCTGGATTGAGTTCCAGGCTCTGACTTCAGCCTGGCTCAGCCCTAACCATTGTGGACATTTGGGAAATGAGCCAGCAGATGAAATCTCTCTCTCTCGTCCTCATTCCATTTCAAATAAAATGAAAGTAAATAAATAAAAGTTTTAAAAGGAAATGAACATGAGGCCGGCACCGCAGCTCAATAGGCTAATCCTCCGCCTTGCGGCGCCGGCACACCGGGTTCTAGTCCCGGTTGGGGCGTCAGATTCTGTCCCTGTTGCCCCTCTTCCAGGCCAGCTCTCTGCTGTGGCCAGGGAGTGCAGTGGAGGATGGCCCAAGTGCTTGGACCCTGCACCCGCATGGGAGACCAGGAGAAGCACCTGGCTCCTGCCTTTGGATCAATGCGGTGCACCGGAAAAAGGAAACCTTTCTCTCTGTCTCTCTCTCTCACTGTCCACTCTGCCTGTCAAAAAATAAAAAAAAAAAGGAAATAAACATGAACTCTTTGAAAACTAGCTGGTCAAATTTCATTCGTGCAATAGTAGCTGTTATCATAACTGTAAAGTTGAGTTAACTTTGAAGACAAATATACCTTGGATATTATCAAAAGTTACACAGCAGAAGCTCTCTTAGCCCACTGCCACGTAAGTAACTTCCGTAATTAGCATAGTTAGCATGCTGACTGATGCCTAGGAAATGCTCACCACCCAGGGCCTACGGGCTGTTTTCTAGCACCTCTGTACCTTTCTAGTCCACTAGTTTCTTGCCAAGAATCAGGTACGTTTGCTCCCAAACTTGTTTTGTTAGTTGCACTTGTTATTGCAATTACATATTCAATGAAATATCTTGGGAACCAATGAACTTTGTGTAAAAAGAAAGAAAATTACGGGACAGGCATTCAGCATAACAAGTAAAATATTGCTTGAGATACTGCGTTTCACACTGGAGTGTCTGGGTTCAAGTCTTGGCTCTACTTCCAATTCCTGCTTCCTGCTAATGTGCATCCTGGCAGCAGGTGATGGTTCAAATTGTTGTGTTCCTGCTACCCATGCGGGAGATCCAAATTCAGTTCCCAGCTCCTGGCTTCAGCCTGGCCTATCCCTGGGTTTTGCTGGCGATACAAGAATCAACTAGGTGAGAGCTCTCAGTCTGTCTCTTTCACTCTTCCCTCTGTCTCTATGTCTTTCAGATAAATAATTTTTTTTTTGACAGGCAGAGTTAGACAGTGAGAGAGAGAGACAGAGAGAAAGGTCTTCCTTCCGTTGGTTCACCCCTCAAAATGGCTGCTATGACCGGTGCACTGCGCCCATTTGAAACCAGGAGCCAGGTGCTTCCTCCTGGTCTCCCATGCGGGTGCAGGGTCCAAGCACTTGGGCCATCCTCCACTGCACTCCCTGGCCACAGCAGAGAGCTGGCCTGGAAGAGGGGCAACCGGGACAGAATCCGGCGCCCTGACCAGGACTAGAACCCGGTGTGCCAGCGCCGCAAGGCGGAGGATTAACCTAGTGAGCCGCGGCACCGGCCCATAAGGCTTTTTAAGTATCCCCATACTTAGGGGGCTCAAAGGAGGCAGTGTGTCTGTTAGTGTCGCTCAACATGAAAGTATCAGCGAACTGTGACTGATTCATCCTCCTCCCCAACTGGGCCTCATTCAGGTCACAAAGCAGAGAACTCACAAGGCTGGAAACACTTATGCCTCCTGCTGACTCGCCGAAGATGGTCACACTGCCAGGGTCTCCACCAAAGAACTTGATGTTCTTCTGGACCCAGGAGAGAGCAGCCAACTGATCCTTGAAGGCCCAGTTCCCAGAAGCATGCTGGTCCTGAGTGCTGGGGGCAGGAAAAGGGTGAGAAATCTCAGTCAGTCACTGTCTCCTGCTGCCCAGGAATTTGGGGAGGGGCTTGAGTGAAGCCTGGGAAAGCTGAGAAAACTAGACTTAGACCTCATTCTTTTGGGGGAATTTGTCTTTTTTTGAGAATCTAATGAAAGCTATGCACCCTAGAAAAATGCACAGAACATGACTGTGCATGCAATTTGAGAGTATTCTTAAGAACCCTGGAATTGGGGCTGGCGCTCTAGCTTAGTGGGTAAAGCCACCACCTGCAGTGCTGGCATCCCATATGGGTGCCAGTTCAACACTTGGCTAATCCACTTCTGATCCAGCTCTCTGCTATGGCCTGGGAAAGCAGTAGAAGATGGCTCAAGCCCTTGGGTCCCTGCACCCACATGGGAGACCCAGAAGAAGCTCCTGGCTCCTAGCTTTAGATTGGTGCAGCTCTAGCCATTGTGGCCATCTGGAGAGTGAATCAGCAGATAGAAGACCTCTCTCTCTCTCTCTCTCTCTCTCTCTCTAACTCTGCCTTTCAAATAAATACATAAATCTTAAAAAAAAATAACCCTGGAATCTGTAGATACTGGGTCCTGCTGCTAGTGGGTCTTTAAGGCAGCAAGAGGTTTCAGAGAATGGCTAAATTAATAACAGCAGCAGCAGCAGCAGCAGCAAGGTGGGCCTGATAATATTCTAAGGGCTTTCTGGCTGATGCTTCCAGAGTCCTCACAGCCTGTGAAGCAGGTGGTGAGGTTCTGCCATGCTCCCGCAAGCCTGACCTCTAGAGCCTGCATAGCCCAGGCTGGCTGTGTTCAGGAAATGAGGGGCACTGGCAGGCGAAATACAGCCAGACCAGCATGTCCCTCCCACAATCCCATGCTCTCTCTCTGCTGGGAAGTAGTCTAGACAGTGGCTGTATTTCTCCATGGCCACAACTCATGCTAGCTCCTGTCAGAGAAATCTGTGAACATGCCATCAGGACACTAATGGATACATCAGCTTCCTCTCACAGACTAGGAAATTCAGGCCCAGAGAACTTAAATCCTCTTGCTAGAAAGAGCTAGAAAGCTGCAGAGTTGAGATTTCACAAGGCTGACCCCAGAATCTAGGCTCCCAACTATAAACCATGCCTCACGCTGCCGTGCTTGTAGAACAGCCTATTTCCCAGGATAGGTGGACAATTAGCAGGGGAACAAGTGAAAATGAAACAGAACCAAATAAATACCTAGACCGTGAGAATTCGTGCAGTGCACACCACATGTGAGAGTAATTCTAGGACTGCCTTCTACTCCCCTCCTTATGCCACTCCCCCAGACTACTACTCCCCTTCATTCCCTTTCTCTATGACTGCTGGGCTAGCTCTGACTCTACATTCTCTCTCCTAGACCCACATATCCAATCAAGACCCATGCTCGGTCAATTTTACCTCCATCCCATCATGGAACCCACATCAGACTCTGTTCTTCCATTTCTGTTTATGCTGAGAAACCTTTACCTGAATGGTTAAGATCTCAGCCTCTCTTTCCCCAAATCCACCACATCCCCAAGGTGTAATTCAAATGTCATCTCTCTCTAGAAGCTGCCTGGTCCTCTGCAGCTCTGTCCTCCACTTCCATTGCTTCCCACTCTTGGAGAATTTGCCATGTCCTACCCAGTAACGTGGATATGTATGGTCCTGCATGATCTGCCCCACTAGCTTTTGATCCTCTTGAAGTAGGATCCATATTTGAAACACTGCTTCCTTCTACACAGGATCTGATAGTGGCCTCCAAACACTCATGTGGCCCCACATCTATTATTCTTTGTTCAAACTGCACCTGGTCAAGACTCATCCTGCTATGTTTTAGGCAGGACAATAGATATGGTCAAGAGACTCAGATCTGTTCTGTGATTTCTTGGAAATTACTTAAGCCTCCTGGGCCTCCATTTTTCAGCTGTAAAATGGGAATAACAACAGAACTTCACTCTAGGATTATTTTGAACCTGCTTTGAAGTAATGTACGGCAAGTGCACATACCATGCTTGGTTCACTGAGTGTCCAATGCATGGCAGGTATTATTGGAGGGAGGGAAGCCCAGGCCGGGGGGGGGGGGGGGGGGGGATTATTTGCAGGTGAGCTTTTAAAGAGCCTTGGGTGAGACCTATGGCGGAGTCCACTAACTACTCACACAACCTGTGTCCCTGACTCCCAGGCATACACCTGGGCTACATTTCCCTGTGTCCCTTGCAGTTGGATGTGGTCAAGCAACTCAGTTCTGCTGATGGTATGTGAACAGAGGAATGAGCACCCCCTCCAGGTTAACCCAGGAAAACCTCCTTCTTGCGATCCATCTGCTGGCCAAATGCAGAAGATCTGGGGTCTTAGAGGATCCACATCAGAGCCACAAGATGGAAGGTGACCAGGCCTCTGATTGACCACGTGGATGGATGTCTGTCAGTCAGAAACACACAACTGCACTTCACTTAAGTTTTAAGTTTCAATTTTATAGCTGCTGAAATTATTTAATGAATTAGGACCAAATCTGCTCAATGCCAAGGAAGGCTCACTTTCTCAAGCTGATGAGCACTGAATATGGCCACTGCACAGCTGTCTCTTGGAGATCTAAAGTGTCAATCTCCTGGGGAGACTCACGTGAAAAACCCAAATATTCCAAGCCGGTATTGAGCAGTCACAACCAGCACATTCTCATAGGCAGCCAGTGCAGACCCGTCAAAGATGGAAGCTGAGCCAGTCTCAAAGGCACCCCCTGGGAACCACACCATGACCTACAGAGGAGAGAAGAACAATGCTTTCAGCCCACCAGGTGCTCATATCCCCTCCCCATGCATGCTGGCATATTCTTTCTTCAGGGAAATATAACAGTCTCAGTTCCCAGTCTAAGCATGATCAGAGGTTTTGTCTTTGGAGAAGGTCCAAGGTTAAGCATGTGGGCTCTAGCTCTGCCACGAAATAGCTGTGTGACCTTGAACAGATGACTCAACCCTTCTGAGGCTCATTTTTCTCATCTGGAAGGTGTGAAAAATAATAAAATCTCAATAGGTTATCTGAGATTTAGGCAAGATTCTCTATCTAAAAATCACAGAGAAATGCTTGTTCATGAAAGTGCTCACACGGTATTTATTTGATGTCATTAAGCTTTTGACCCTGAGAACAGTAGAAATCATTGTAAGCACATATAAGAACAAGAGCCACTTAGGGTGTTTGAATTTGTGGTCAGCATGGTTAGGATGTTGGTTTTGACACCAACATTCTATATGAGCACCAATTTAAGTCCCAGCTACTCTGCTTCTGATCCCACTCACTGCTAGTAAAACTGGGAAGGCAGTGGAGGATGGGCCAAGTGATTGGGCCCTCACCAGCCACATGGGAGAACCAGATGGGGTTCCAGACTCCTGCCTTAGGCCTAGCCCAGCTCTGGCTGCTGTGGCTATGTGGGAAGTGGACCAGTAAATGGAAGGCCTCTCTCTCTCTCTCTCTCAAAATAAATAAATAAATTTTTAAAAAAATGTTTGAATATAAGTTTTCTTCTATCTTCTGAGAGAAGAAAAAAATGGAAGAGAAGTGTACAAACCTTATTAGTTAGAAAAACAAGGACCAGAGAACATAGAACATTTTTGAAATGACACTATCAGTATTCACATACTGAATAATAAACACCTTCCATTCTCTTTTGTATTATATAATTGTAATTGCATCATATAACATTAATATATAATTAAAATATATTAATATATAATTGTATTATATAATATTAAAAACTACAATTCCTATATCAGGGAAAGAAGAAAGCCACTGAGGAAAAGGGAGAGCTGGACACAGCATTGGCTTTAGTGCCAGGACCTAGCACTTACTGCGTACAACATAGGAGAAGTCACTTATGCCCTCCTTATGCGTCATCTTGGGTCCAATCATCCTTACTCACTGGGTTATTGTAGAATTTGAAATAATTTCCTGTGCCTGGTGTATAGTAAATACTCAATAGATATCACTGTAATGATACAATGGAGTGAGTTGCCTATTGTAGAGGCAAGGAGAAAGGAGGATGGGAGGGTGTGGCTGAAAATTATAGAATATATCTTTCACACATTCACTTCTACAAGAATTTTGCACATTGAATTTCATTGTTTAAAATTTATTTGAGAGGCAGAAATAGAAACAGAAAGTTGGAGAGAGAGAAAACTGCTCCATCTACTGGTTCACTCCCCAAATGCTTGCAACAGTTGAGGCTGGGTTGGGGCCAAATCCAGGGGCCAAAAATGCAATTTAGGTTTCCCACATGAGTGGCAGGAACCCAGTTACTTGAACTGCCTTTCAGGGTCTGTATTGGTAACAAGCTGGAGTCATGAGCTGCAGGTGGGAATCAAACCCAAGTACTCCAGTGTGGGGTGTGAGTATATTAATCGCTAGGCTGAACACTGATTTTTACATTATTTTTTAAAATTTTTTATTTTTTTAATTTTCAACTAGTTTTCAATTAGTTTTTAATAGTTTCAATGTGATCTTTAAATAAAGAACATCAAAACATTCCCTTCTTCCTTCCCTCTCCCTCTCTCTCTTCCACCCTCCTTCCTTTTCTTTCTTTTTTTAGTTTTTGAGATAACATATTTTAAATTTACATTACAATAAAGTCATAATACTTCACCAAATAAGAAGTTTAACAAGTAAAAAGCAAAAAGATCTTAGTTTAATGTGAATATAGACAAAGGCTATAAATAATAATCGAATGGAAAAATGAACATTTCACTCATACACTAGATTTTAAAGTAAGCACAGATCATTAAAACTATAGTCATATAACCCATTTCTACATTCTTAAATAAAATATTTAATAGTATTACCTGTGTTAGCTACAAACTGAAAAAACTGAAGGATGCAAATATCATCTTTAAGAAGTCATTGAGAAGCAATGACTTGAACAGCCCTTGACTGTTGAGGAACAATTTTATTTAATACTATTTGTTGAACTCTTAACAGAGTTAAACATATGTGTATAATGTCAAGTGAAAATAGATCTCAGTGAGAATAAGAGAAGGAGGAGGAAGAGGGGTGGGAGTATAGGATGGGAGGTCGGGCACTGTGGGAAAAACCACCATGTTCCTCAAATTGTAATTTTGAAGTGTACGAAGTTTGTAACTGTAAAGCTGTATAGTTCTGCATACATTCCTACAGACTTCTTACAGTTTAAAAACTTGCTATGGGACCCCAAATCCCATTAAGCTGTGTGGTAAAAATGCCATCTTAAGTATTAGAGTGATCATATGGATAGGATTAAGTATCTGGTAATAATAATAATAAATAGAATTAAAAAAGAGTGAATTCTCCAACACGGGAAGCAGACTCATAGAATGACAATCGCTTTATATAGAACTTTGACCTCAGAATCTGCCCTTAACACATTCTGCTCTGGCTGAAAAGGCCATGAGAGCATTTCAGGCATGGAAAGTCAAGATTCTGTGGCAAAAATGCCCTACATGAAGGACCTTGGTGGGTGAGACCCCGGTGGAAAGAAGTAGTCATCAAAGAAGGAGGTAGTTTTCTCTGAAGGGAGGAGAGAACTTCCACTTTGCTTATGGCCTTGTCTAAATACTGACAAAGTTTGTGGATTCAAAAGGCTTCCATAGCCTAGGCAGCTCATGTCAACAGCCTCGGATGATCACTGATGTCATACATAAGAGTGTTAATTGATAAATTAACAACAGGAATCACTGTGCACTAACTTCCCATGCAGGACCTCTGTCCTCAAAGAGTTGTATTATAATTATGTCTAAGTGCTGGCAAAAGATGTATCATTCTTGGGTGCTTCTTTAAGGATAATTAAGTTTCTAAAAAAAAAAAAAGAAGTGAAATTAACTTCAAGATGCAATGACTCTGAACAGCCCTTGTTTTGACTGTTGATTAGCAGTTTTTCCTGCAAATTGTTGAACTACTTACTTAGTATAGAGTTGGTCTTCTGTATATAAAGTTAATCGAAAATGGATCTTAGTGGAGAATGGGACTGAGAATGAGCGAAGGAGAAGGAGGGGTGGGAGAGTGGGTGGAAGGGCGGGTGTGGTGGGAAGAATCAGTACATTCCTAAAGTTATACTTATGAAATGCATGGAGTTTGTATTCCTTAAATAAAAGGTTTCTTTGGGGAGGAGAAAAATTTCTCAAATTATTTAAAAAAAAACCCAGAATCCTTCTAAGCAGTATATTTTCTGAAAGTTTACAGGCTATTAAATATTAAGAGGCAAGGAAGTAGGAGGAGAAGACAAGTGCTCGGCCTAGCAGTTAAGATGCTTGCATCCTCCATCAAAGTGCCTAGCTTCAGTTCCCAGCTCCAGCTCTTGATACCAGCTTGGAACATAGGCGACTAGGATTGAATTCCCAGTCCTGACTCTGGTGCCAGTCCAGCCCTGACCATTGCAGGCCTTCAGGGAGTGTGAATCACCTGATGAAAGCTTGCTCTCTCTCTCTCTCTCTCTCTCCCCTCTCCCCTCTCCCCTCTCCCATCTCCCTCCCTACCTACCTCTCAAAAAAACTTTAAATATAATAAGAGGGGGTAAAACAAATAAAGATGAAAGGTAGAGTCACTGCCAGTAAAGCAATAAAAAATGTCAGCAAAGTAAATCTACCATTCTACTGATTTTGTAAACAAGTCATTGATGTGATTTCATTTCTCTTTAACCCACAGTAGGGGAGGTTCAGTTCCAGATACCCTACCACCCTTGCTGAATCCCAGGCCCAAACCCACTAGATGGAGCCCCAAGTGCAGCAGACAGCCTTACGGGGAGGTTGGAGTTCTCCTGAGCAGGGACCGGCGCGTAGATGTTAAGGTACAGGCAGTCTTCTGACACTTCAAATGTGGGATAATGCACCTGGAGCATGTGTTGATCTGAGAGCAGCCACTCTGAGTTCTGGAAGCACCTTGGAGAAAGGAAAGAGAATGTCCCCAGAACTGCTTTCAGCAAACTTGCCTGGTGTGGGGGGGTCAATGGCTATGACAGCAGAGAGGCCTGGCCACCTCTACCTGAACAGAAGAGGCATATGGGAGCTACTGGTACAAAGCCTAAGCAGCTCCTCGTGGTTTCAAAAACAAGTAGAGTGAGAAAACTAACTCTAATTCCCCTCGATACACTTGCTGAGGGGGCAAGCTCACTGTGCAGATGAAGTGTATCATGAACTATCAGCACACTCCCACCACCATAATAGAGACACACACAAAGCTGGCTTAAGGAGGCCCCAGCTTGCAAAGGGCAGGACACTGAGTTGAAAAGCAATTACTTTGCTCTCACAGCCCCTTCTCCACTGTCCAAGGAGCAAAGAGACAGCCAAGCCTCCCTACCAAGAACCAGGCAGGGAGACTTCCAGGGACATTTATGCATCCGGGTTCTTAAGTTAGCCCCTCGCTCTGGACCACCAGGTTCTTAAGTTAGCCCCTCGCTCTGGACAACTCTCCCCTCATAGCTGCCCGCTCACATTCTTCCCTTTCTTTCAGATTTAGTCCAGTATTGCTTCCTGCAGGGAGCCTTCTGGGACTTTTCCAGTTAGACTGCAGCTTTTCTTTGGAAATGCCTGCATGTGTTGTGTTCTTGCCTAGAATTTGTCATAAGTGTATGCATGAGAATTATCATCTTTCCAACCCAACTGTGAGCAGCTAAAAGCTCCAAATACCTCCTAGCTCCAATCCCAGAGCCAGACACGGGAAGACTGAGAGTTACTCATATGTGTGGATATGTCTATCACAGTACTTGATCAGTTAATGCTCATTGTGTTCTTAATAGTGAACAGTACTAGCAGTGGGAAATCACTGCTGCAAACGCACTCTCCAACAGACATTTGATGTCCCCAGCCCCTTCGTGTGTTGTTTATCAAGAATTCAGGCCTGGCTCCTTTCAGCAAAGCCATCCCTGACATCCCAGGGGGGCTGGGCTAAGTGGTTCTCTGTGTTCCCCCCGACACCCTTCTCTGACCTCCTGATGGTGCCTTTGTTGTCCTCTATTTTAATTGTCAGTCATCACTCATGTCCTTCCCCCAACACCACCAGTCTATGTCCTCCTGAAGGCAGCTATTACTCCTCTGCTGTAGTGTTGCTAGGTCCTAACGGAGAGCCAACTACTGAATTAGTTCTCAATTTTAATGCAATGAATGAATGAACAGATCAACCAATGAATTTCAGCTTAATGTCCTCAGTCCCTGGGTCATGTAAGTCATCTTCTGTGGTCTAGGGAGCATTCTGGCCCCCAGGGTACTCCTTTTTTTCTTGGGACCCCAGTGCCAGGAACCCATGTGGTCCAACCTGAGGGCTACATAGGATCTGAAACATCAGAAGATTATTGGGAATTTGAAAATCTTACTGCCTACCCACAAGTCTCTTTCACCCCTCTACCTGGTAATAAATTATCCAGTTAATCTGCTAACTAGTTATCCACCCAAGCTTGAAAATCTTCAGTGACTGGCAGCTCCCTACTTCCTAAGACACCTGTGTCATGCGGTATTCACCCACAGGTGTCTGTGCAATTCCCACTGTGGGCCAGGCATTACCTTAGGTTCAGTTTTGACAGTCTGGTGCGGGTCTTCCCTCTAAAGCCACCATAGAGGCCATGCCCAGTAGACAGGTCAAGTGGAAACACCTGGACAGTCCCTTCTGACGCAAGACTCTAGAAACCCCTCACATGCTTCCCAGTGCGGGTTGGTGCTCAGAATCTCTAGAGAGCTTTCAGACAATACAGTTTCCTGGGCCCAGATCAGAGGACTCTGATTCAGAAGGGAGCCTGAGGAATCTGTATGGTTCCAACAATGCCTTCTCCCATTCTGCTGACCAGCAAGTTTGGGAGCACTGAGATGACTGAAGGACTTGCCAAGATCTGCAGTGGTCTGCCTTCCTCCGCAGTGCCTGCACCTCCTCCCGTTTCCCCCTGGGTAGGTTTTCGTTCACAACTTTCATTCCTTTTCAGTGAGCCCACCCCTCTCCCAACTCTGAGTCTCAGGCCACCCATGAGACCTAGCCTGGTCTTACAATTTAGGGTAGGAGGTGGCATCTCGAAAGCCATTCCAGGGCATTGCCGGTTGCGGATCTGTGAATCGCAGGGGTCCCAGAGGGGGTGCAGCAAAAGGGACCCCGAGGAACATGTTGACAGGCATGAGGCTTCCTTGCACAGTGACTTGCTTTCCCTCGACCCATCCCAGCCTGGTGTTTCTTTGTGGCACTTCATTCACAGGCCCTGAGGGAAACGTGGGGAGAACAAGGACATAAGTGGGAAGAGGCAGGAACTCCATCCAACGCGGAGCTCCCCAAAGATCACACTCTACCCTGCTGAGAGGCTAAAAAGCCACGAGTCTCTGGGTTCTCTCTCCATGAATCCACTTCCATTAGAATACTGGAGCCCAGTAACAAGCCATGAACTCACTTCTCTCCAGCTGTGTGGAATCCCTCCCTTTCTGTGGGACTCAATGACCAAGACTCCACAAAATTGTTTTCACCAGGCTCCCCAACCTCCATCATTTCCACACCCACCAGCATAATTGCTGTGCACCACCTGTGCACTTACCAGTTGTTTATTTTTCTGAGAATTAAATACAGATAAACTCCTTTTAAAGTTCAACTTAGAGGAGTCCTTAGCAATCACATCAAGGAACTTGTGATTTGATGAAATAGGGGTATGCTTTTCATACACAGCAAAATAAATACACATCAGTGAAAATATTAGAAATTCTCATGCAGATGCCCACTGAGTTGGCTCATTCGCTTCCAGGGACATGAAGATGGCACTTGGGGAGACTGGGCATGCGGGCAACTCGGTTTCCACATAGAACATGGAACCTTGAGAGCAAAACTGCCCAGCTACTTAACCAGAAGAACCCAGGAGTCTTGGCACTATTGTTCTGATATCATTTCATTCATCAAAGTCCTGTTTCCCCAGCCAGGACTCCATCCATCCCATGTCCCTCCCCAGTGCCCAAGGGCAGGACCGGAGTCTTTCATGCTCTTTCTATATCCCAGAAAGAAGTTGTGGTCTGGGTTCTCAGCAGCTCCAGGAAACTGGAACCCCAAGGTACCACAGGGCTGCCCATGGGCCCTCTAAGACCTCTGAGAAATAACTATACTCCTTCAGTGGAAAATCTTCCCCCATCCCATCTTCCCATAACACATCTCACCCTTGCTGGCAGCTACAAGGACCCAAATAGCACAGATTAGAGCCTGGCTTGGGCGCACCCAATCCCCACTCATCTGGCTGGCCTGCCTGAACTCTCTGGATATCCACGACTTCCGCTGGCCTCAGAGAGCTTCTGTCAGCGACAAGAAAGAGCTTCCGTTTAGGAGAGAGACAATAGCAGAGCAGGCAGACACAGGATGTGCAGCTAGTGAAAGATAGCAGCAGACCAATACTTTCAGAGGAATTGACCAAGCAAGACTTTCCTGTTCTGATTTACATAAGAGGAAGCTAATGATTAACTTTTTAAAGATCATTTAGTAGGCTTTGAACTCATTGGATATAGAAAGAACATGCAAGAACAGGTAAGCCAGAGATCTCAAACTCATAGATATTTGTAGGGCTAGAAAGACACTTAACCAGTAATGAATAAAGCTGGCCAGGAGATACAACAGAGGGAAAACAGCACATCTTTGTGCTGTTTACTACACTTCTCAGGTCTAGTAAACATTTAGCTGTGACAATGTAAGTAAACTAAATGAGATATTTATACTCTTGATTTTTAAAAGTGTCTTCAAATGTTTACAAAAATCACCATGTGAGCCCAACATGATATTCCTACTGGCTTCAGGTGTGTCATGGGTCAACGCCTCTGATTCTGATCCATACCCAGGCTGTCCAGTGTAAATATGAGGAGATAGGACCAGGGAGGTGCACTTAGGACTCGTGACCTTTCTGAGACCAGTCTTCAGTATCCTGAGCTCTCATTGCAGGACTCTTTCCATCATAATGTTATGTTCTCAGAAACAGCATGTGCGTCATGGAAGATCCAGGTCAGAATCCAGGAGCATCACCTCCACAGCTGGCTCCATGTCTCAGGATGGAATCAGGAAGGGATTTCTCAAATGCTGGGGACTAAGCCAACAGAATTCTCTGGGGCACTTGTTGAAAATGCATTATTCTGGGCCAGCGCCGTGGCTCACTTGCTTAATCCTCTACCTGCGGTGCCAGCATCCCATATGGGCACCGAGTTCTAGTCCTGGCTGCTCCTCTTCCAGTCCAGCTCTCTGCTGTGGTCCGGGAAGGCAATGGAGGATGGCCCAAGTGCTTGGGCCCTGCACCCTCATGGGAGACAAGGAGGAAGCACCTGGCTCCTGGCTTCAGATTGGCACAGCGCACCGGCCATAGCGGCCATTTGGTGGGTGAACCAACGGAAGGAAGACCTTTATCTCTCTCTCACTGTCTAACTCTGCCTGTCAAAATAAAAAAAAAAGAAAATGCATCATTCTGTCCCACCCCCTTGATATTTGGGGGCTCTGGAATTTGATAACAGCAGTAGTAGGTTTGTGAGCATTTGCCTTATAAGAAAGGCCACAAGCTGATATTATGTACCTTCAAGGTACAGAACTCTGTACAAGTTAGGAAAACTTTTCTCAAAGTCAGAGCAAGGAATGGCCTAATGCACTTTTCTAAAGGCAGGTGCTCCATGAACATTTAGGGATTTGAAGTCCTCCAGTATATAATCGTTTTTTCTCCAACTCCAACTCCTTTCCTGATGCACTGCTGAAATGAAGATTAGGAACATACAATTTACACAGCAGTTAAGATTTCACTTGTGGGGCTGGCATTGTGGTGTAGTGGGTAAAGCCACTACCTGAGATGCCAGCATCCCATATGGGTGCCAGTTCAAGTCCCAGCTGCTCCACTTCCAATCCGGCTCTCTGCTATGGCCTGGGAAAGCAGTAGAAGATGGTCCAAGTCCTTGGGCCCTGAACCTGTGTGGAAGACCCAGAATAAGCTCCTGGCTCCTGCCTTTGGATCGACTCAGCTCCATCTGTTGGGGCCATTTGGGGAGTGGAGCAGCAGATGGAAAATCTCTCTCTCTCTCTCTCTCTTTCTCTCTCCCTCTGCCTCTCTCAAACTCTGCCTTTCAAATAAATAAATAAATCTTTAAAAAAAAGATTCCAATTGTGATGCCTGCATCCCATATATGAGTCCTTAGGTTCAAGTCTTTCCTCTTCTTCTGATCCAGCTTCCTATTAATGCACACCCTAAGAGGCAACAGGTGGTGGTTCAAGAAGTTTGGTCCCTGCCACTCACTTGGAAGACCTGGATTGAGTTGCAGGCCTTGGGGAATGAAACAGAAGATGGATGATCCCTGTGTGTTTGTGCATGTGTGTGTGTGTGTGTCTTTCTTTTGAATAAATTATAAATAGGTTTATATATTGTATTGTTCCACTTTTTGTTACCCTAACTAAAGCACCTTAGAGGAGCTTCTTAAGAAAGAAAAGGCTTCTTTCAACTTAAAGTTTGGAGGGTACAGCTCGGGATCAGACAGCCCTACAGTCCAGTGTCTGATGCAGTCTGCTCATGGTGGGTGCAGAGGAATGATCACATGATGAGAAAGGAAGCAGAGGGAGAGAGAACCTAGACTGAATTTGAATTCAAATAGTCAATGCTTCTGTTAGAATCACCCTTCAAGAGGGTACCCCAATTATCCAAATACTCCCACAGACACTTCTCTCAGATGCCATAATTAGATCAAGTCTCTGCCTTAATCCCTCAACCCTCAACATAAGATATTAGAGCTTCAACATCAACATGAGTTTTGGGGAGACAAGTCCTTCCTGCCTTGGCAACTTTGAGGCTTTTTTAACCATCTTCTCCCTCTGGCCCTCTCCAACTGCCAACACAAAGATTCCCTCTGACCCAAAACTCTGTCCTCCCATCCAATCAGAAATCCTAACAGGCTGGCACCATGGCTCAATAGGCTAATCCTCCACCTGCAGTGCCAGCGCGCCGCATTCTGTCCCGGTTGCTCCTCTTCCAGTCCAGCTCTCTGCTGTGGCCTGGGAGTGCAGTGGAGGATGGTCCAAGTCCTTGGGTCCTGCACCGCATGGGAGACCAGAAGAAGCACCTGGCTCCTGGCTTCGGATCAGCGCGGTGTGCCAGCCGTGGCGCCATCTGCAGCGGCCATTGAGGGGTGAACCAACGGAGAAGGAAGACATTTCTCTCTGACTCTCTCTCTTACTGTCCACTCTGCCTGGAAAGAAAGAAAGAAAGAAAGAAAGAAAGAAAGAAAGAAAGAAAGAAAGAAAGAAAGAAAGAAAGAAGAAGAAGAAGAAGAAGAAAGAAAGAAAGAAAGAAAGAAAGAAGAAGAAGAAAGAAAGAAAGAAAGAAAGAAAGAAAGAAAGAGAAAGAAAGAAAGAAAGAAAGAAAGAAAGAAAGAAAGAAAGAAAGAAAGAAAGAAAGAAAGAAAGAAAGAAAGAAAGAAAGAAAGAAAGAAATCCTAACAGTGCCAGCAATGTGGCACAGCAGGTTATACTACTGCTTGGGACACCAGCATCCCATATTGGAGTACCAGTTGGAGTCCTGGCTACTCCAGTTCTGATCCAGCTCCCTGCTATTGCACTTATGTACCTGCAAGATACATTGGGAAGACAGTGAAGGATGGTCAAACTGCCTGTCACCCATGTGGAAGACCTGGATGGAGTTCCTGGCTCCTGGCTTTGGCCTGGACTAACCCTAACTATTGCAGCCATTTGGGGAATAAAACTGTGGATAGATTCTTTCTCTCTCTCTCTCTCTCTCTCTCTGCCTTTCAAGTAAATAAATAAATCTTTTTTAAAAAATAAATAATCTCAATGTTCTACACTGTTACTCATTCAATAGTTTTTAAAGCATCTCCATATGTTCTGTTTTCATGTCACAATCCCCCCAATTTGGTTGTCTTTCTTCTCTAGCTCCTATCCTTTAAAGCCTAATTCAACTGCCACCTCTCCCAAGAACCTTTCCCAGAATTTTTAACTCCTTGGTGCTTTGCTTTTCCAACCTTTCTTGTTTCTAATTAGTTGTGATCATGACTCTCTTCCTCCTTGAGAGTACTGTGTCTGCATCCAACACAGCTTCTTACGTGCACCCTGGTGCTCCCCAGAACACAGCCATTGATCATCAGGTTTTTTTTTTTTACAGGCAGAGTGGACAGTGAGAGAGAGAGACAGAGAGAAAGGTCTTCCTTTTGCCGTTGGTTCACCCTCCAATGGCCGCCGCGCCTGGCATGCTGCGGCCAGCACACCACACTGATCCGAAGGCAGGAGCCAGGTGCTTCTCCTGGTCTCCCACAGGGTGCAGGGCCCAAGCACTTGGGCCATCCTCCACTGCACTCCCTGGCCACAGCAGAGAGCTGTCCTGGAAGAGGGGCAACCGGGACAGAATCCAGTGCTCCGACCGGGACTAAAACCCGGTGTGCCAGTGCCACTAGGTGGAAGATTAGTCTATTGAGCTGAGGTGCCAGAAAATCAGTTTTTTTAATCATTCTTTTTTAAATTTTTTTAACTTTTATTTAACAAATATAACTTTCCAAAGTACAGCTTATGGATTACAGTGGCTTCCCCCCCCCCCCCATAACTTCCCTCCCACCCGCAACCCTCCCATCTCCCGCTCCCTCTCCCATTCCAATCACATCAAGATTCATTTTCAATTCTCTTTATATACAGAAGATCAGTTTAGTATATATTAAGTAAAGATTTCATCAGTTTGCACCCACACAGAAACACAAAGTGTAAAGCACTGTTTGAGTACTAGTTATAGCATTAATTCACATTGTACAACACATTAAGGACAGAGATCCTACATGGGGAGTAGGTGCACAGTGACTCCTGTTGTTGACTTAACAAATTGACACTCTTGTTTATGGAGTCAATAATCACCATAGGCTGTTGTCATGAGTTGCCAAGGCTATGGAAGCCTTTTGAGTTCACCAATTCCGATCTTAGTTAGACAAGGTCATAATCAAAGTGGAAGTTCTCTCCTCCCTTCAGAGAAAGGTACCTCCTTCTTTGATGACCTATTCTTTCCACTGGGATCTCATTCATGGAGATCTTTCATTTAGGGTTTTATTTATTTATTAATTTTTTGCCATATAGTGTCTTGGCTTTCCATGCCTATAATACTCTCATGGGCTCTTGAGCCAGATCCAAATGCCTTAAGGGCTGATTCTGAGGCCAGAGTGCTGTTTAGGACATCCGCCATTCTATGAGTCTGCTGTGTATCCCGCTTCCCATGTTGGATCGTTCTCTCCTTTTTAATTCTATCAGTTAGTTTTAGCAGACACTAGTCTTGTTTATGTGATCCCTTTGACTCTTAATCCTATCATTATGATCAATTGTGAACTGAAATAGCTCACTTGGACTAGTGAGATGGCATTGGTACATGCCACCTTGATGGGATTGAATTGGAATCCCCCGGCACGTTTCTAACTCTACCATTTGGGGCAAGTCAGCTTGAGCATGTCCCAGATTGTACATCTCCTCCTCTCTTATTCCCACTCTTATATTTAACAGAGATCACTTTTCAGTTACATTTAATCACCTAAGAATAATTGTGTGTTAATTAAAGAGTTCAACCAATAGTATTAAGTAGAACAAAAAAATACTAAAAGGGATAAAGTATTAAGTTGTTCATCAACATTCAGGACAAGGGCTGATCAAGTCACTGTTTCTCATAGTGTCCATTTCACTTCAACAGGTTTCCTTTTTGGTGCTTGGTTTTTTGTCACCAAATCATCAGTTTTCACAACTTGTACCCATTTTTACTACGAATTTGATCATGAATTTACTTGATATTTTTCTTTAAATATAAAAAATTGGAACTGAGAACTGAATGGAACCACAACCAGACATGGAACACAGTAGTGATGGCCGACCAGGATCAAGGTGCTGCACTGAGTCAACAGGGGAGGGTCAGCATTGATCAAGACAAAAGAACCACAGACTGGCCAGTGTATAATTTACCATCTTCCCAAGAACTCAGTGCAAGGAGAAGTTGCTATGGAGACTGTGACAATCGGAGGATCTCTGCAAGTGGGCCAAGTTTCCTTTACTCATATTATTTGTGTAGTCACATAAGCTTCCTCCAACTTATGCAGCCAGACACCATCTTGAAGAGGATAGGTAGAGTGTGGAGCAACTATGAGAGGCTGTGGATTTATTTGAAAAATGATAATGTTACTTAAAAATTGTTTAAAATATTGTATAGCGGGGCAGGCACTGTGGCACAGCAGGTTAACTCCCCGGACTAAAGCACCGGCATCCCATATGTGCGCCGGTTCAAGACCCAGCTGCTCCACTTCTGATCCAGCTCTTTGCTGTGGCCTAGGAAAGCAGCAAGAGATGGCTCAAGTCCGTGGGCCCCAGCACCCATGTGGGAGACCTGGAATAAGCTCCTTGCTTCTAGCTTCAGATCGGTGCAGCTCTGGCCATTGCGGCCAATCGGGGAGTGAACCACTGGATGGAAGACCCCCCCCTCTCTTTCTCTCTCTCCCTCTCCTCTCTCTGTATAACTCTGACTTTCAAGTAAGTAAATAAATCTAAAAAAAAAATTGAATAGGACTGAATTTACTAGATTAGGTTAAATTAATGATCTACCATTAACCAGTGGGGCAAGGTATCCTCTCTTCGCTAAAAAGGAAAACTAATAAGTGTTAGATATTTACAAAAGATATGCTGGGGCCAGCACTGTGGTGCAGCGGGTTAAAGCCCTGGCCTGAAGAGCCAGCATCCCATATGGGTGCCGGTTCTAGTCCCAGCTGCTCCTTTTCTGATCCAGCTCTCTGCTATGGCCTGGGAGAGCAGTTAAAAGATGGCCCAAGTCCTTGGGCCCCAGAACCCAAGTGGGAGACCAGGAAGAAGCTCCTGGCTCCTGGCTCCTGGCTCCTGGCTCCTGGCTCCTGGCTCCTGGCTCCTGGCTTCAAATCGGCACAGCTCCGGCAGTTTTGGCTATCTAGGGAGTGAACCAATGGATAGAAGACCTCTCTCTCTGTCTCTACCTCTCTCTGTAACTCTGTCTTTCAAATAAATAAAATAAATCTTTAAAAA